CTCTCCGTCTCTTGTTTTTTTTTTTTTTTATTTTCTTGATCTCGAGCGTGTTGGTAAGATTGCGTCGAGATTCTATAGGAGTCAATCGCTGGTATTTTTTTTTTCTTTCTTTTTGCGATTATACTATATCTTATCGTGGTCTTGTGGTTTGTAAATTACGCCCGTCCCGCGACCCGGGCGAACCGATGCGGCAATGTGACCAGCCAATTAAGAGGGGAAGTTCAACGATAAGCCTTGGCCCTTTCTGCCCAGGCAAATAAATCCACGCTGGGAATTGCTTCGAACATCGTGCAGGACCTCAACTCATTTCTAATGAAAAATAGAAAAATATATTTATGATAGTTGCACTGTAGGAAGAGCATTGTATAAGCTAAATTCTATATTAATGAATGACAATTTATTTTCATAATTAATCAATTAGTTGAAAATGAAGACTAATGACAAATAACAATAATAATAAACCATTCAATATTATCTTGTACATCTTCTTTACAATTTCTAGTAAATACAATTTATATAAGTATTTTAACTACTTTCAATGGTTTTTATAATTTTGACACAACCTGTTTTATTTAAAACTGTTGGTTTTATACTTTTCTATAATCAAATTTAAAAATTTGTTATAATTTGTTATAATTTGTTTTAATTCGTCTGAACTGGAATATAGTGAATATTACTTTTTACATGTAAAAGTTATTGCCAAATATACATGACTTTGTGTGATATATAATCGGCTATAATAAGTTCTTAATAATTTTACATATCAACACATATGAAAATTAATAAGATTAAGAAAGAATTCTTAGAATTTAACAAGCTCATATTTTTATTCTTTTCTGATATTATTCGAAGCATGAATTATAGTAACAAAGTGATCAAATAAAATATTAACTTACCCTAGTTGTGGTCGAAGGAATATATTTGGTTGCATCTCTGTAATGTGGTTACCATTGTCGCAAAATATTCTCGCTAGCGTTACATTGCGAATTTCCGCTAATTGTTCTGTAACAAAAATTAAAATATACTCGAGTCTGTCCTTTGTAATCAAATGTAATTAATTTAAAACAGCAAGACAACAGACTCAATCAAAGTTTTTATTATCTATTTTGAAATTAGATATCAAATATCATCTACTAAACTGTTATATAGGGTGGCCACTGAAGGGTTTGAAAAAGTTATAACTTTTCAATCTTTTTTATTTTCTTTTTTTTAGTTTTTCACGCTGAAAAATTGATTATATTTCCAAATAAAATAATAAAAAATTTGAAAAAGACATGTGTTTGTAAAAGTTATTTTTGTTTAATATCATTCAGTCTTTCAATGACCACCGTATATTACTTCATATTATTAAGTGAAAATTAACGAATTAATTTGAGAAAAATTATTTCTTACCAGGGGTGAAAGGATGTGGTTGATACGCAGAATCATAAAAATATCTATCGGTGCGACGAGTTCTTGAAAATTGTTCGAAGATCAAACAACGGAAAGTTGGACCCAATAATCCATCTTCTGCTGGCCGTTCAACCATACCACCAATAATGAGATCAACATCATCTGGATGAGCGTAAACTGTACGCAATTTCTTTATCATCTGTTGATAAATGTTGCAGAGTGAATAACAAATGTTTAAGAGATTGAAACAATAATTCCTATCAAATTTCATTGAAACAAATATAAATCAAGTTCCGAACTTCTGTTTTTTTTTTCTTTCTATCAAGTGATATTATAAGTTTATTAAAAGTGAACTTCTGTTTTTTTTTTTTTCTTTCTATCAAGTGATATTATAAGTTTATTAAAAGTGAAAATTTTCTATTAATAAATTGTATGAAAATAGCAAATATAAATCAAATTTCGAACTTCTCTTTCTTTTTCTCTTTTGCAAGATAATTTCACATTGAAATAATTTCCATTATATTTCGTTAAGATAAGAAATTCACATTCCAAATGTGAAAAATTTGTTAACACTTGAATATTTACCTCCATTGGAATGTAATCTAGGAAATCATCGAAACTCTTTGCAGATGAAAGACCGCAATATTTGCGGTAATGATTATATCCTGGCAAACCGTGATCACGACCACGCTGAATGTCTAAACTGATGGCATCTAAACCTAGACTTTCTTCATTTGAAGCAAACAGCTTGCTTGTTATCTGTAAAATACGAATAATTTTTTCTTATCGACTCTGTTCTGTTTATTGCTACTATTGTATATTGTTACATTATTATCAATTTTCTTTCCTGGAGTTTATTCTTAGTTATTTAGAGATTAATGCTTAGACGAATTCTTTATTGTAATTTTGTCTTACTCTTGAAAAATTATAACTCTCTATAACTATCTATAGTTAAAAGTACTTATTGCTTCTTTATTGTATTACGTCGATGCACTATTATACCAAATGAATTATTTATAACATTATTATTTTCTAAATTTATCCAGGTCAAATTATTAGTTTCGCAGATTTTCAATCGAAACAAATAGTTGCAGTTAATTAATAATCACTTTCTTTTGCAAATAAACAAAATTTGGGCTACAGAGTGTTAATTATAACTGCAAGTTCTCAGAGGATACTTACGTCTTCAACTATGTTAATATCCATCTTTTGACTGGTCTGAGTAGCCATGCCACGCAATAAACCGTCGAACACTTCATCCGACTCGATTATCGTCGGTTTGAAGAAATGTTCCGCTAGTGAAACTGTTTTATTGTTCTGGCGTTTATTGTCTGTTAAGCTGTAACATTGAAATGAGACAACTATATAAGAGATTGAGATCTTGTTTATCTCTATAGATTCAATTCGTTAGACAGATTACAAAATACATATTATGCTAAGATTGATTTTGAAACGCTAACGCTGCAACGTCGACTGACCTAATCTTTCCTTGCATCAAGGAAATCATGAAACGCAATGCCGCTGTCGCGACCTCGTTGCTAACTGCTGGATCATCCTCGGAGTTGTAGTTACGACTGTAGCTACTTTCAACAACAAGACCAACAGCCCGAGCGTATTTCTTGCCCAGCAATATCGGCAGCCATTCTTTGTATGTAATATGCTGAATTTCAGCAATTACTATACGCCTGGCTTCCTGATACAATGTCTCATCCGACCAGTTGGGATTCAGTTCAGCAAGCTTGTTAGCGATTCTGTTGTGCTCACGGTGCCAGACAGTGTGCATCACAGCCAATTGGGGGTGTGTATTTACACGATAATCACCTGTAACAAAGAAGTGAATATAATATTGTACAGTGAATATCATGTACTATATAATATTGTTTATTGTATAATATAACATATATTGTAACGTTATGTAGAAACTTTAAGAAAGTGAATATTATATTTGTACAGTGAATATTGTACAATGTCATAGATATTATATAAAATATTGCAATATTGGACAAACTTTAAGAAAGTAAATATTGTACAACGAATATTATAATACTGCATATTATATACTATATAATATGGTATAATATCGTATATAATATATTGTAATACTATATAATACATACTATATAATATTCTATATATACTATAAAATTATTGTAATACTATATAATATTGTAATACTATGTATATAATATTGTATATTATATAATATTATATTGTATATTATACAATATACTATTATTATACTAATATTATATTGTATATTGTATATTATATAATATTGTATATGCATATTGTAATACTATATAATATTCTATATATACTATAAAAATTTTAAATAAAATGAAAATTATATTACATTGCAGTATACATATATATAATATATTACATGATATAAATTAAAAAAAAAATATATTATATTGTACAGTGCACAATACCGTATATCATATATATTGTAATATATATTGCATATGTTTTCTCGAGATGGAATCGACAATCAACTAATTGTACAAATCTTTTGTCGCGGATGAAACACAAAGTGCGTGAATAATTACCGGAATCATAGCAGCCATCCTTGCATTCAGTTCCTCCGATCGGTAAGAACTCGTGCTTGTTCTTGTGAACGCGTAATCGGCCGCCCTCGAACTCACGGAGTTCGCGAGATTTCTTCAAAGTGGAGCCGTAGATCGCGGAACCGTCCAAAAAGTGGCTCGCTTGATTCATCTGTCATTGGGGAAAAAAATAAATAATCACGCTTTTACTTTATATCGTTCTAACATCAATTATTATTCACATCCTGTATTCAAATGAAAATTCAGTTCCACTTGCCTGTTCCGCGGGGCCAAAGGTGCATTCTGTCTTGAGGACCGGCAACGATCGCACGTAATTCATGCATCGTACGTAATGCTGGCCATAGACGGGATCTCTGTCGGGCACCGTGATCGCGGAACAATCAGGATGTACGTATCGAGGTGACAAGGGGTTTCCATCTGACCGACAACACGAGATTGGTTTTCCTGATGACACTGCAAAACGATAGAGGATTGAATTTCAAGCCGTGTTCCATTTGCAAAAATTTTTACAAGGAAAAAAAGAAAAAGAAGAGAGAAAGAATTTCATGCATAGTATCATTTGGACTGCAATTTAGATAGACACTTACCCATCTTACGCATCGGGGTGTACGAGATGTCGTTGGCAATGAACTGGGCCCATTGCATGACCGTCAACGTTCTGCTGACATCCGACTGATCGTTGGGTGTCGATAGAGCAACACTCACGCTTCTGGCACCTGGCAGCGGCTTTTTCGTTTGCCCAATACGCCTCGGTTCTTGAATTCCTGGTCGCCAAAACGAAGCCATTAGTCTCGAGGTTCTCTCTCTGACGGCGCGTCGTCAAATCGGAGTAACACCACGCTACGCTTCGCGAGTTTCAAACCACGCACAGATCTAAGAGAGTTTGCAGCCGAGACGATCACCGATTACTCCGATTTCGACAAAGTGATTCGCACCAGTGAGATTCTTCATCCTATGCATGTGAAATATATAGTGTTCGTGCAGCGCGAGAGCGAAAGTGGCAATTCGCGGCTGATACAACAGCAATATGATGCCTGATTCTGTGTGCCGAGATCAAATTCGAATCCGGAGCCTAACAGCGCGCGCCTACGTGAAGTACACCTGCCTCAGCTCGCGAACACAATTCGTCAGGGACCAATCAGTGTATCTATAGCTTCAGAGTCCGATTCAGAGTACTTCTCGAGTACTTTTCTTCCAGCGTTTGACGAACGATTGCTTTCCCAAACGCTCGATCATCACTCGACCATCGAATTTTCTGTCTTTCTTCTCAAAGCTAACTGATCCCTGAATCGACCGGCAAGCAATTGCTCTCGCGCTACAACGCAACAGTACAAAAATACTTGTCTTCTACTTATTTTGCTCGACATGACGTTCTGATGCG